AATCTTGGAAAAGATCAAAGAATAAATCTTTCAAGTTATGCAAAAGAATATACGATACAAAAGTATTATTAGACAATAAAATAATAAAAATATAATTAGACAAATATAAACGTTTCTATATAATATATTATAGCAACTACACAATTTGTGGTTATCACAAGTGAAATGGTAATCTCAAATAAAAAGAGAATATATAAAAAAACTTATTATATTAGTTTATATCATCATCTTTTCATGTATAATGTATTTTACGCGTGAGCGAACTACCAACTGCGAACTGACTTGTCAAAACGGTTTCACGAGATCTCTTCCGACGTATGTCCAGTTAAGTCTCATTTAAATCGCACAAAGTAGACCACAAGTGGTAAATATAAGCCTAAGTGCACCTATCCCGAAGTCAGGCTAAATCTGATTACATATAAAATGTCGCGGCGCTGCTAAGCAACCATGTGCCGGCAGACGCGAGTTAACCGGTTGGCGATCATTCAATTAGCGAGTAACTCGAGCGATCCATAAAAGCGGGATCTCTGACGCGCAAAATCAGCAGCATAATCGTGAATGAGGAAAATCAGCAGCCGCGCGTAGGCTGATCAGCTTTAACCTACGACACGCTATTATTTCAGAGTCGTTCACTAAGGTGGAAGAGTGACGTAATGCACGTTAAAAGACGTACGGTCGATTCGCTTCGTCGTGACACTTTCGGCACGACACCAGGACAGAGAGCCCAGGGTGTATCACAAGGGTAACACACTGAAAACGCCGCGATTACGCGCCGATGACGGCGCGGCGCGACGTATCGCGGCGTCGCGAGTACAGTGGAGGGCGCCGTTATATGCTTACGATAGGTCGGGTCGGGGCTGACTACTATCGGCTGACACTACTAGCTGTTTAGCGGATCACGCGCGGCCACGACGCGAGCAACTTCCCCGCGATTACCCTTCGCGCGCGATCTGCGGCCTCGGTGGCGCGGGCCGAGAGAGACGCACGTCGTCGCACGTCCCGAGATCGTCAACGGCGAGCGATCATCCGGCGACCACCTCCACGTGCTGCGCAGCACGATCGACCTGCGACGGGTCGTCGACGAGGAACCTGTATGTTTGTGTGTGTATGTATATTTGGATAAAGGGGTGCGGAACGCGTCGCTCGCGATCTACGTTCTGCGGCATACTAGCTCTCTTGCCCTGGCTCCCACCGCCCACCCCCCTAGCTTCAGCGACCCCTCCTGCGACCCCTCGGGGGGGGAGGGGGGAGGGTGGCCGCCCGTCCCGTACGTCAGATCCTTCCTTTCGCCCTCCACCACGACTCGCCAGCACCCGCGCCATGTCGCCCCCGCATCGACGAACCGACCGTTTCGCAGTACCATCAGCGTTGGTAGCTGCCACCACCGGACGGGGTTGCGTACGCCACCGGACGATACGGCGCCAATCAATCGTGATCCAGTTTCAAGCCCGGCGGATACTTTCTTCCGGCTTGCAACGCTCGTTCAACTGTTCGAGTAGATCTCGTAACAAGTGTCCTCAGTGCTCTGGAAACACTGTCGCTTTTATAGACTCTTTTACTACTTGACAAAGTACGTACGTTGTAAGATATAGTGTTTCGGAGCTAACGAAGGTGATCGTTAGTTACTGCTACGATAGTGAATGCTTAATTAGAGTGCTTAAAGATGGTATTTTTAGAGCAGAGATTAAATTTTCGCAAATGATACCGAAAGAGCTACTTATCGTTTGCATCTTTCTTATTTTAAGTATATAGAAACATACATTCGTAGGATTAATATAAATGAAATTAACATTCCCTTGCACAATGTCTCAATTATTATCCCTTTTCCCTATACATGCGCTCTATTATCTGAGAAATATGACATTATATATATATGTATAATTCTAAAGGCATTATGGAAAACATTACAATACTAAATATGAATATATCATGGATTATTATTTTGTTCCAAGTATTTTCAATTCTAATCATTTTTCAGAATAATCAAGATAGTAATCAGATTTTTAAAAGACAAAACATTAAAAACGTACTATACATGTACTATAATAAATTTTATATATAAATATATATAAAAATTAATTGAGATATTTTTAATTTAATTAAAATCTGTGTTTATTAAAATAAATAACAAAATTTCTAGTAAACATTTCGCGGCATGTTTAAAATATATTAGCAAAATATCACTATTTTATGACTAGTTAGAGAAAACACTATTTAAAAAAAAATTTAAGTTACGATATTATCCTGTAATAATTTACATACATACATATACATGGCCAACAAAAATTTGTTGCAAATTTGTGTATTTTCTTATAGGAAAATCATTGCTGAGTTCGCAATTATTAGATAATGAATTTATTATCACGATTGTGTACAAGTAATTATATCGCAATTTATATGCATGCAATTTTATGAGATATAAACCTTGAGTGCACTTCTCTCTCATCGATCTTCTCGTTTTCCCAAAACATTAAGCGCATGCGTTAATCTTTTCCTTGGATGCTTGCTGTGACTATGTAGTCGATGGATCAAGAACTCTCTTTCTCTCTTTCTTTTTCTTTCTATCTCTGTTTCTGTCTCTCTTTTTCTATCATGCATTTTAATGTAAGACAAGCATTCTTTGATAGCTGTGCATCGATCGATCTTGTCGCCACAATATTATTTCCTATCAACGAAGCAACAAGTTTTACCTTCTTATAAGTATAAATTAAATTTATTTTTCTTTTCTCAACTACACAATACGATTTAAAGACTTTTATTTTTATTTTTATTTTGGATTTAATTGCCAGAATAAAGCAGAGGTGATACTTTAACTTACTTTATGAATATATATAGCGTTTACAAAAGTTTGCAAAATATAATAGCCAATGTTTTTAATAATAATGGTTATAACTTTTATATTAAATAGCAGTCAAAATGTGCATTGAGATGATTCAAAAATATGTTTACATTTATATTTTCAAAGTTTGTAAATATCGTACGAGCGTGTTTTTATTGTACCGAATTTTATATACCCTGCGTCGCCAAGTGGAATATCCACAGAAAATTCGAAGAGTGAGACTTGCAAGAAAAATACGCAAGATGATCTTCTGTGACAGAAAATAACTTCATTGAATATAATATGTAATACACATAAATAGAGTGACTGTAGGAGATTGCCGCAAAGATACAAACTGTATTTTCATTCATCAATTTTTTTATATATGTAAAAAAAGTTTCTTTTTATTTTCCATAATGCATCAGTTGATATATGGATATTAAATTAAAAATAGTTTATAGTATATACCGAACATATACACTTATGCTTCCGACAAATACAATTTTACAGATCTCTCAGAAAAAAAAACCCTGAAGTAAATAACTGCTATGTAAATATTCACTTCAAGCACAAAGTAAAAGCAAGCTAAACAGAAGTAAAATATTATTTGAAGATATAAAGTTTTTTTTATGGAAGAAACAAAAACAGCAGTTCAATCAAATTAAATGTACATATATCTCGCGCCAGACACTTTTTATTTTCGTTCCTTCCACTTATGTCGCTAATCAAAGTAGGACGGCACATCGATTTTGGTCGTATCCAGAGCAAAGTGCCAAATATCTCATAAAAGAGTATAGCCAGGGTCTCAATTTCTCGGAACGCCGATCTAAAATAGAACCAGACAGAAACACGGACGAAGGCGAAAGAAGATGCGAATAAATAACGAGTATCGCGCCTCAAGGATGAAGACCGGATTAATAAAGCGCCTAGTAACGAGATAGCTCGTCAGAATGCGCCATGGCCCGATTAAATCGCTTGTCCCGTGTTCTCGATCTATCTCTTGTCCCTCTCTCTCTTTCCGTTCCTCTCTTCTACATTTATCTTTCTCCTGCTATAATTCTTTCCCCCTGTTCCTCCCTGCAGTCCGCGTTGCAGCTACGGGATTTTTAACTGAGAATTTTAACGATCGACCTACATTTCTGTGCCCCATTTACGATATATCCTACGGTAATGTCAAACACCGAGATAAATATGCTAGTGATTGTCGCTCTAAGGACCAACAGCGATGCAACGGCACGATTGGACATTATCAGATTATGAGAATACATAGATTGGAATAGTTTGGCAAAAGACGTCACATAAATCATCCGATGCAAATATCAATCTTCTTACGGATTTCGCAGAAGCTATTTCTGTCACAAGCAATTTCTTGTTGCTATATCCAGAAATCGCAGAATATGTTTTGCTACCGTAATGTATGCAAATTAACGTATACTCATAAATATGTATATATGTATATGTGGTCAAAAAATTATCATAGCATAAGTGTAAATATGGCAGTAAATTGTAGAATTAGTTTCTTAATTTTTTAAACAAAATTATTCAAATAACATTATTTTAAAAAGTTACTTCTAATAATACTAATGTATGTAAAATGATATAAAATATATAACGTACATGTAACTGTAATACAAAAATTTTTAATTTATTTTTCTCTCTAATGCAAATTGACTTTATTTCTTATGTAATAATTATCGCGAAAGAAATTCTGGTATATATAAAATTCATCAAGAATCAATCGTATTTATAAATTTTTTGTTTTATATAGCTTTCTTCTAAACAATATAAACGAATCAACTCGATATTTATGCCTGCAAAAATTACAAGCATGACACGATCCTCAAGTTAGGTTCAATTAGCTATAAATACTCGAGATATATAACTATATTTATTAAAAATATCTCAATCAAAAATTCATCAATAAGAGAACTTACGTAAAAAAATTTAATAAAATAGTAAGAAAGAACAGTATTTTCTATTTTTTCACAAATTTAGGGCGATATTCTTAATAGTAGAAATGTATACATAAAGTACCTGTGTGTAAACAGGTATAAAACTTCGTTTGAAATATTACTGCGCCATTTTATGGTATAAGTTAAAAAGCTAGCTTTAAAGTCAACAGAGAAATAAATTATCCATTCTGCTCGTGCTAGCTCCCGACTTTAAAATACAATGTACTTACCCTCATGTGCGGCTGAACCAATAATTCGTGAAGTTCTCGAAGATCGGCTCTATCGATATTTCGCACCGCCGAATGCTCTGCTTCTCGAAGGATCTCTTCGACATCTCGAGCGCGTTGAGCTGCATCCGTCTGCGGTGCTCGGTACGGTGTTGGTACACGTGCTGAGATTCTGTCATAAAGCTGGAAACAGACATTTTAAATAATAGCATTTATGCAAATAATCGAGCGTATTATTATATTTAACAAAATATAATCAATCTCATAAATCTTTTTTTTAAACCCATCAGATAAATTTTTTTTTTTTTTCTTAGATAAAATGCTAAGAGAAATATATAATATTTTAATAAACGCCAGTAAAATATTCAAACTGTGTAAGTATTCAAATTTTTCTGCAGCATCAAATCTTTCCTTAACCTTGTTGACAATGATTTAAAAAAATATACTTTTAATATATTTTTATACAAGTATGATTATTTCATTATTACGTTCATAAATATAACATTAAAGAACACTATATGACTATTGATAAAGTTGAAAATTAAGAGAATTACGTTATTAAAAGTGAAATATTGGAGCTGAAAAAATAAAACAATTTATAACGATTAATGAAATGTGCTATTATACAGACGTGCTAACATCACTTGTTTAAAGTTTCGATCGGCTGAGTTTCTCAACAAATATTCTTCCTTATTCTGTTAGATCGAAATAATTTACTCACCAGGAGACCCGCGATTTCGAACAGGTCGCCGGCTAGCTCGGCATCGCCGATGAACATTAACTGACAGAGATGCATCTCTATCTATTAGACAGCGCTACAAGCCTCGTGAAGCATGGTCCGAACACGTGACTCGTTCGGTCACGTGACACTTCAGGAACCACCGAGGAGTAAATTTATATTGACACGCGAGTTGTCGCAATTATGCGATCTTTCGAACGTGCGTGGCATGTTGTTTATCAAGACTCCGCGGCGGCCATCTTGCCAATCCGGAGGTAGCGCTTGCGTGCTTTTCTTTGAAAGGAGTGAAGGTCGTTCCCGCGGGATATCCCGCACGAGTGAATATTATCGAGGTAGCAGCGAAAGAGGGTTGTGAATGGGTGGCGCCACTTTCAGTGGAAGAGCTCAAGCTTTGCAGCGGCGGGATTCAGCGCGAAAAGGAAGCTTTCGAGATGATTGCCGATCTGGATTACGGCAGGATTGAAACAGGGGTGACATAATTCAAACGTGGCGCGAATATTACGTGGGAGGGGTTGGCAATCGTTACCCTTTGCCGTCGATAAAAAACAGAACTATTTTACCATAGCTATAAGAGCGTTCTCTGTTTGTTACCTGCACTCGATTGCAGAAACTCTCACTGTTGATAAGAGAATAAATATACTGTCCATAAAGAAACCGAATTTTAAAAAAGCGTCCGAATGACGTGAGTCCATCTATCTTATGGCATTGTATAGTGGGATTCTTTAGTAACTTTCTCACATCACGAGTATGACGCTATCTTGTTAGTTTACATTTTATGGTGATTTGAATGAGATTGTGTTCGGCATGTGGTGATTTTTTTTTTCTTGGTGGCAATTTTTCTCTCTCTTTGCAATGAAAATGAAGTAATTTACACTCATGTACAATTAAGCAATCAACATAATATTAGTTCCAAGAGATAAATTTACGAAAAGTTTGAATACTAAAAAAGTTTGAATCTAAATTTTTATGTTTAATGTACTCTTTAGTTCTTTTATTCTTTCAATTTTCCAGTTAGCGTAATCTGGTATTTTCTTGCGCGATTTTTTATTTAATTACAAGTTGTCATAAAAAAAGATACCTCTAAAATTGCTCGAAGCCGGTGATCATCAACTGCGTTGAGAACTTCTGTCCGTAACAATCTATCACTTTCTTCAAGGATTTCAATGTCATCCAAGGAATCCACAATTTCGGCTACAGCTCCTGTACATAGAACAGTGTAAAATATTGATTTTACGAAATATTAATATGTTTGATGATTCGTGTTCTAATCACGACCTTTAATAGGCAGATCTGTGATAGATAGAACATTGATAGTGCGCGCTTTATGTACATAGATAATCTAATACTCGTATGACATATCACGGAATGTGCGGAGAAATCATGCAGTTTCCAAATTACGCGATATTATCGATCTCATTGTTGAAATAGTAAACCCAAATCATTGTGGTGATTGTTATAAAACTATCGCGAGCGATTAAGCAAACATAAAATATAAATTATGAAAAGACAGAATTCTCGATCTTAGAGAAATTTCAATTAAACAGAATCAATTTATTTCTCACATTTATCTCTAATATTTAACACGTGACTTAAAATTTTTATAAAATTGTCTGTTTTATAAAGTAAAAATTTATCAAACAAATAAATTTTGCATTAAATTTTATCATATTTGTATATATCAGAGGCTCAATTTTAAGATCGCTGGTTTTCAACGTACCTGTTGTCATCTCGTCATCGCCGACATCGGAGAAATTGTCACCATTAGCTTCTGAATATGGAGCATGCCATTTCGACGAGGAGATGGCTACTTTTACGGCATTGCTCAATTTTCGCCTTGCATTAAATTTCTTAAGCTCTTCTATAGTATCAGCTAAGTGTATACGAGCTGCACCCTTATCACGATCCTGAAAATTAGTATCCGTTCATTCGCTATCAAAAATACAACAAAGTTATTATTGACAAGCGAGACAGCGCGTTTGCTAAATTTATTTAATATATTCTGAAAATTATATTTCAAATTATAAGCATCTATAAATAACAAAATTATTATAGACAATTGTCATTTGCAAATTAGTTGCTTTCAAAATAAATAAATAAAAAAGGCTAAAGAAAAAAAAACCAGCATTATCAACGCAACCGAATAATATACAATTTAAATATTTTTCCTCGTACAATCGCGAGACGCATTATTCCCGTATAACGAGAGAAGAAAGATCGATCATACTTGCTTCCACAAAGTCCTCGAGGGTTCGACGAACGTACAGCCGCGTAAAAAAGCTTTAAGCAATGCACACAGAGCGCGAGGTATATACTTTACTACAGTTATTTTCATTAATCGTCGGTGCTTTGCTCCTGCTATAACGATCGATAGCCTAGTTGCACGTGTGTTGCATCGAAGAAGTATGGGGGTGACTTCGCGAGTGTTGTTACCTTAGGTCACTGGCTAACTGTTGCACCATACAGGTATAATCTCACACCATACCAATGTGCGCATGCGCACGCACATTCATCGGACATAACAACGGGGAATGAGGCCACGTGTACATATACATACAATATATATTATATATATATATGGCGTAATTATAAAATAAAACCCGATGTACTATCATCGGCGATCAAACGGAAGCCGCTACATCGATTATCCCCATCAGGAGTTGCGCGGCATGACGTAGAATGCTGATCGTCATCAAACGCCCGCGCTCGAACGACTATTATACAGATCCCACACATCCACACGTACGCGCATACACACAAGCGCGATATTCCTCCTCTGTGCTTTATCATATCCCGCAAATAAGGGAATCGCGGAGATCCGCACGCCGATCGCTTTACTTACTCTAAGCCACTTGTGGTTGAGAACTTCCTGGATGGTGATCCTATGATTTACGTCGGTCGTGAGCATTCTCTGTATGAGGTCTTTCGCCGGCTCGCTGATGGGATCCCAGAGTGGTGTCTCCATCTGCAAATTCAATTAAATCGGAATTACTTGCTCTGTATGCGAAGAATCCCGCGTCCCGAATGGTGCGAGCGGTTCGAAATCACAAGGCGAGCGTTATTAAAATTTTTGAACCGC